TGCAGGGCTTATGTCATGGTTAGAGGGCTGGCAGAAATGACAAGAACCGTGACGATGACGATTCCGATCGCCGATCTCAGTTGCAGACAACCCGCAGCACTCAACCTGGCTCCGTCTTACAAAGAGGTTCCTCGCAAAAGGACCATCACATGGCCACGAACGCTATGCCGTAGAGCCTTGAACACCCCACAACCAAAAGCCCCCTAAGCCCTAAATTATCCTGAACCATAAACTTTATGCCCTAAACCCGAATCCGGGGTCCACCGAGTTTGCGGAGTGCTGTGTTTCAAGCTTTCCTGAGTATACCCATAGGCCCTAAAGTAGTTAATTTTTGGGGTTCATATATACAATCCTATGAGGTAACCCCAGAAAGGAACTACTATGGGGCCTACGGGTATGGTGGTCTCATTAGTCCCGCATTGGATCTAAAGGCCCTCAACGTTCAAACCCTCCAAGGCCGGAGCCCTAGAATAGGGTTGTGGGCTCCTTTAGGGTTTAGGGTTTTGGGTTTTGGGTTTTGGTTTAGGGTTTAGGGTTTAGGGTTTAGGGTTTAGGGTTTAGGGTCTTTATAGTATATCTATAATGAAGAACCCTAACACTACTATTAGTCCCTAGTCTACAGTAGACCTTTGGAAACTCCGGAAGATCGAAGGAAGATGTCCGTGCCACAGCCCCTGCTCTTTGCCGAGCGCCCCGAGGTTCCTGGGTTTCTCACGGCATAATTTGCATAAACATGGTGATGGGACCAAGGCTTCGTGGTTCATGAGATTGGGCCTCGGTTTTAAGTGGTGCATAGGGTGTGTCACAGGCGCCTTCCTGGTTGGACACGGGTTTCGGGGTATATTACATATACTGGCGAAACTTCTACTCAGCCAATGGCCATGCCTCTATCTTAGGGTCAAGAGGGCTCTGGATGTGTCTGTAGTGATCTGGCATGAGTTCTATACGCTAGACCAAGAGAATCAAGCTGAAGAATTTCAAAGATATGGTAATGGTTGAGGGAGTTGAGGGCTTAGAGGTTTGATTGGGTTTGAGGTTTTAGGGTCTATCTGGTGATTTATTAGAGTCGAGGGCTTTAAGGGAAATGTTATCTTGGGTCAACAATTGGTTGCTGGTTAGCAATTGTATTTGGCGGTTAGGATTCCATAAGAAGCAGGCAAAGTATAACATGAGACACAGCAGCAGATACAATGCCCTAAGCCTTAAGCCCTACACCCTGAACACCCTACAGCCTCAACCCTGCAACCGAAACCCTGGAGGGAATCGGTAGGGAAGCTGCCGAGCTCAGATGTCTTCACTGTTGAAACCTCGGAGACTCAAGCTTGCACCCTTTCACCCCTACACCCTAAAGCCTAAACCCTAAACCCTAAACCCTAAGCAACGGGCATGGCCGGCCTGCCCACAGCTACAGCCTGGCATCTGAGGGATTACTTTCCTCATCTTCAACCCAAACCCCAGACCCAAAACATAGCTTTAGCATGAGATGTTTGGGGGTGAGGGTTTAGGGTTTAGGGTTTAGGGTTTAGGCCTACCACCCGACGTGGCTTTTCGAATTTGTTGTTTACTGTTTAGAGCCTCGGGTTTCGGGTAGTCCAACAAACTGAGATCGCTTCAGGGTCTGGCGGCGGTACAGCGCACCATTGGCGAGACGGCCAAAGTTGCCGACGAACCGCACCTGAATTGTGGGCAAGGTTTGTCGGTATTGCTTTATCAGTCGGTGGTTTTATAAGGGTCAAAAGTCTATACGTTTTTGGAATGAAAGCAATGGGATTCTTTTGTACAGGACATGACAATAAGGACCCTGTGTTTAGAAGTCCACTCTCGGATTCCTCGTTTCCTGAAGCTTGTGCATGTTCGCGACACGATGCACTTAGAGTAGCAGTTGAACGCCGTACCGATTTTTTTCGGAGTCCTCAACTCCTAAGTTCCATGAGAGATAGACTCAGATAGACTGCAAGTAGTACGATCGCTCCAGTATTGCAGAGAAAGACGCTCGCTCCAGTATTGCCACGCTCGCTCCATTATCGCAGAGGGAGAGAAACTGCAAGTATAAGGACCGCTCCAAAGAGTCTCCCTTGGACTTTTCTTTTGGACTCCTTTTGCTGGAATTTTTGGACTCAGTTGTGGTCCACCCTTAGGACTTGTATTTGGTCGTTTTGCTTGCTGTTGGGCGTCGTATTTGCAGTCGGTTATGA